AATATTTACAAATATTGTTATATAAAATATAATTATTGCTTAAAATTTTTAAGCAATAATTATATTTTATATAATGATATATTATTTGCAAAAATTTCGAAAGAGATTTTTTTCAATATTAAATATTAATTCCTTCTTTGCGTTCGTGAAAGACGCTACTAGCATAACGGAGTAGCTTACTGTATTTCATTGTCTTTTAGTTTTACGCCTGTAATATAATCCAACACGTTTCGATGCACATCGATGTAAGTAAGATTTATATATCTGTCAGTGTTATTTGGCAGCTATAGCATTCTCTATAATACGTATTCTTCAATTCTTCAACATATAACGCAGTTGGCAAACGCACTTCAGTGAAGCTATTTTAGATAACAGAAATTAAAATACAATTTTATATATTAAAAAATTTATTTATGAAATAAAATATTAAATGTACAATACAGAATATTTTAAATGCATATGTCAAATCTTCAGATTTCTAGAAGAGTTTCCAGAATTAAAGTTTTTTATGAAATCATTTGTATTGTTTTCGTAAAAAGCTAAAATATTACTATTAATTATTATAAAAAAAACAAACATTTAAAAAATATTAGGTAAATATAATTCTTCTATTTTATTTTTTGGATATAGATAATAATTAAATATTACAACAAATAACTTATATCTTGTTTTTTTGAAATTTAATATTGTGTCTAGTTTTCATAAAACTTTACAATAAATTAAATAGACACAAGTAAATATTTTTAAAGTAAATTTGAAACTAAATTTGGATCAGTTTTCCCAATATCACGTTTATTAGAACATTTAATATAACACGTTCTAAAATACAGATCATTTTTTTATTATTTTAAGGAAATTATTTCAAATTAACTTTTATTTTATAATTTGTTTTATTTTATTTTATTTTATTTTACAAAAGCAAATAACATTTTTTTATTTCTAAGAGGAAAGAACTCTTAAAACAAAGATGAAATTATATAATATTAATGGATTTTATCTTGATATAAATAATTAAATTGCAAACATAAGTGACATTTCTTTTCAAATAAATAAATTAAGTGTGGTGTATAATAAGATTAGCCTTGGCGATATATTGAATATAAAAACTCTTTAAATATAAAAATTCTTTGTCTTTGAACAACTTTCTACTCGTTAAATTGAAATTTTCAAAGTAAATTATTAATAAAAGAAAATTTTAAAAAATTATCAAAAATTTATTAATAAAAGAAAGCATTTTTTATCTTGATACGATACTTAATATTTTTCCAATAGCACACGTGAAAGAATTTTTGAAACGGTCATGTCTAAAGTGTGAAGAACTATCTTTAGAGCTCTCGCACGGACGGTGCTCCTTGCACAGAAATAGAACACATATTCGTTGACGGGATATCCACCAGAAGAGATATATTAAAACTAGATTGAATTTATTTTCGCGTCTCTTTTGGTATAAAAAAAATTAAAAAAAGTAAATATCGTGAAAATATGTACCGCTAATTACAAGAACTCGCAATATGTATCTAGAGCAATTAAATTGTGAAATGTAATTGTATAAATTGTAAATTTTATAAATTGTAACTTATAAAATGTAACTTTATAAATTTATTAATATGCAATAAATCTTGAATTTGTCAAGATAAATTTTTTCTGTACTTCTTGTTTAAATTCTTCATATTCAATAAGTTGTTGCTCAAGAATATCATTTCGTGATTTTTCAATTATCACTGACCTCTCTGCTGACTGGTGATCTGTTGTCGTGTGACTTGTCTTTCTGTTCGTTGCTGAATATACTGTTGTTGTTGTTGTTGTTCTTGCACGATAGCTTGTTGCTGCTGTTGTTGTGTCTGCGATTCTTGAAATTGTTGTCGCTTCATCTTGGATCAATAATCGTGAGTCGGCTGGCAAAATTGTGGCCAACTATATGATTTAGTAGTAAACTGTTAATTAATCTGAGGAATATCTGAAAAGATCTCCTTTCTTCTCTCTCAATGTTTGGTCACCTGAGATTTAACAAACAAACTCTTGATGCACAACGACGAATTTGAAGCAAATCACTCGCACTTATCTCGCTTTACTCTGCAAAACGCGCAGTTTTGCTCGTAACCGCGGCTCAGTTCAATCAGTCGGCAGAATCAAGTCATCGTCAAAAGTCTTGTCCCCGTGATTCTTTAAACCAAGACGTCGGTCGAATGCGAATTGGACGGGTTACGACTTGACGCTCGGCTAAAGCATAAGAAGATGGTGAGGGTGTCGCATGATGACGCCTCCAGGGTGGGGACGTTTGAACGCTCCGACGTTCAATACGTGTGGAAGTTGCTTAAGAAAAACAAGACGAATAGAGGGTGTATACGAATCAATTCGACATATTCAAAAAGATTCAACAATTTTTTATGTTTTATGATGTACAGAAATGAAAACGAAAGAGGAAAGAAAAGAATTATTCAATATGTAAATATCATATGACATGTGATAAATACATTTATCACATATCATTTTATCATTTTATCATTTTACCAGATTTTTTTTGCTTTTTAATTTTTATTTCACAAATTATATAAGCTGTTGTTTATTTTTCTGATATTCTAAACCGCTGATTAATATTGAAGAAAGGATGCTTTACATTAGAAAAATATAAAATATAGAAAGCAAAAATTTGCTCGCTTTTTATTGGTGATTACTTTATACATTTTATCGAATAGAGCAGTAAAACAGTAGTAAAGTCTCACGCAGCGTTCTTACGCTCTCTGACGGCTACCCACGCATTTCCACATTATTTCCTTCACATCTCTTTCGTTGTTCCTTTCTGTAAAATGAAATATTTTAGATTCTTAAATTTGAATGCACAATAAGAGCATTCTTTTTTCTTTTCCTTTTTTGCGCTTCTTCATTTCTTTGCGTTTCTTTGTCAAATACAATATGTACAAATTTTAAAATTCTTTTTCTTCTTCTTAGTATTATTACTTTTTTTTATTTATGATGTACATATTGTATGTATGTTCAAGATTTACGCAATCTCATCGTTCTCTCTCTCTCTCTCTCTCTAGTTTTCGTCTCAGTTTATTCAATATGTTTATTCTTTCTTTCTTGATGGAATTTGGCGGTAGAAATCATTCTCGTTGTATGTACGTAGCCTCAGCCAAGTTTAGCCACACGATTAGGTCCTGATTGCGACTCTGCAAGAGCACATTGCCTGCGCACTGCGCTTGTAAATTCTAGTGTCGCTACACACCATATTCTAAAAACATATGCACGTACATCAATCAACAATGTGGGAAATCTTCTCGTAACGAATTGTCTTTGAGATTTTTAATATTGTAGGAAATTTTGAAAAAATTTTGTTTACCTTAAAGATTTCGTAGATATTTTATACACTTGGATACAAACTACAAATAATTGTAGTCTTCTATTTATAAGCAATGAGCAATAATTCCATCTAATTATTAACGTTTCATCGATGAATCGAAGCGAAACACGCACCGATTGTAATATTTGTATATTTGTACTGTGCGATACTCTCGTGTAATTTATACGCATTAACGATACGTATCTTTAAAGTATAATATATACTTTATATCGCAATCAATGTGCATCAGTTTTCTGAACGTTTTACGTATTTATTGTTAGTATTAATAAAAAATAAACATTAATGGTTAAAATATACATAGAAAGGAAGTAAGTACCATCCCGCACTTTCGCGCCAAGAAGATCAGTATAATCTTGAAAAAGATGGCGGGTCACGCGTGAATCATCGCGTTTCGTCCAAAGTGCCGCATAGCGACACATCTATTTTGAGATTTTGTGAAATAATCTCGATCGACATGATGAGAGAATCTTAGCATTATGATTTTATGATTCATGTACCGAATTCGTACGTAACGTATCACGTATTGCTAAGAGTCACGAACATATACACACACACACACACACACACACACACACACACACACACACACACACA